CACTTGTCACTTTCAATCATTCATCCAAGCATGTAGCATGAGATAGCCTCACTCATATATAGGTAGCGACTGATTGACAAACAGTATTTATAAACCTTGGCACTCTATACACAAAGTCTCAAAAGGAAACAATAGTTTGATGTCATGAAATAATATTAAAATAGACAGGACAGTAAAATCGTTTACATTATCGGTGGAGTGATGATGGGAGGGGGTCAAAGTTGACGACATACATATGGGTCATTGGTACTACAGCATGGCTATAGTGAAAACCGAAAGGAACACGTGTAGTAAATTCTTTGGAAATATAGCCGACATAAATAGTCAAACTCATTTCTCATTTTGTGTTTAAAAATCCAAAGGTAAGCTTTCAAATATTTATGGCATAACTAATCATTTAAATCGAATTAGGGGTGAGGGGCATTTTTAAATCAACCTGCTTGCAACTGGTCAATAGCCTACGTGGTGTCAAAATATGTGATCTGTCAAAGTACCGGTAAGACGGAGAAATGAAATGCCAAGAATGAATGAATGGAGTTTGTGCTGTAATACAAATAATTTAGACCTGTGTCACAAATCATCCTGTATAGAAATTTATCAAATGTGAATAAATCTGTTAATGAAATTTGTTAACGTAACCGATATTTCAATTTGCGTACCCAGGAAATCGGTCGCGTGTTTTTGAGCTGGCACGACCGCACGTAACCGATTGGTATCGTTCGCGTGAAATTTCGTGGCCTGCATCAACACACAAAAGGGACTGTATCAATACAAGTTAGTGTTTGGTATCGCGTCAGCACCTGCGATATGGCAGAGAACCATAGAGCAGGTTTTACAAGACTTATCAGGAGTTCAATGTTTGCTAGATGACATGATTATTACAGGTTAACAGATCAAGAACATTTAGCAAATTAAGAAGGTGTTTTAAAGTGAATATGGGCTAAAAATCAATTTAAAGAAATGTAATTTTTTTAAAGATAGCATAACATTTTGTGGACATATTGTTCATAAACATGGACTTCACAAACAACCAGATAAAATCGAGGCCATGATAAATGCTCCAAGACCAAAGGATGTTCCGCAATTAAGAGCATTTTTAGGACTAGTAAATTACTATCGCAAGTTCTTGCCCGATTTAGCTACAATCTTGTCCCCACTTTTCCAGTTACTCAAGAAGGACAATTATTTTAAGTGTCTCATTTAATAGAATTAAGGAACTTGTAAGTTCAAAATGTGTTTTGACTCATTACGATCCTATGGATTAGGAGCTATAATATCTCATGTGATGTCTGACGGAAAAGAGCGACCCATCGCGTTCGCATCTAGAACCCTAACAAAGGCAGATACAAATTATTCTCATATTGATAAAGAGGCCTTAGGAATTATTTGGGGTATAAAGAAATTTCATTCGTACCTCTATGGTAGATCGTTCACCTTAGTGACTGATAACCAACCATTATCATATATTTTGAATCCCAAAAAAGGAATTTCAGTAACTGCATCAGCACGCCTACATAGATATGCTATTATTCTTGCTGGTTACGATTACAAAATTGAATTTAGAAAGACGTCTAAACACGCCAATTCTGATTCATTATCACGTCTTCCTTTAAAGGTAGAAGAGGAGACAGTTAGTACTGATATGAGTATTAATGCCTTAAATACAGCGTTAGTACTGATATGAGTATTAATGCCTTAAATACAGCTCAAGTTGATTTGTTACCAGTTACTACATCTTCAGTACAACAGGAAACCAGAAGAGATCCTGTGATATCAACTGTTGTCCAGTACACAAATTATGGATGGCCAACCGAGAAATTTAATCAAGAACTAAATGTGTACTATACAAGGAGACATGAGTTAACTGTTCATCTGGAATGTCTAATGTGGGGTCTCAGAGTAGTAATTCCCACAAAATTACGTCAAGATGTTTTCGATCAAGTTCATGAAGGACATATAGGACAATGAAAATGTTAGCTAGAAGTTATATTTGGTGGCCTGGTATTGATAGTGATATAGAAACATTAGCAAAACAATGTACTGGATGCCAGCAATCTCAACACATGCCAAAGTCAGTGCCTATTCACCCATGGGAGTGGCCTTCCAAACCTTGGGAGAGGATTCATATCGATTTTGCAGGACCGTTTTTAGGATACATGTTTTTGATTATCGTCGACTCTCACTCAAAATGGCCTGAGGTAATCAAAATGACTACTGGGAATACATCTGCATCAAGCACCGTGGAAGTTTAAAGAACTGTATTTGCAAGAAACGGATTACCTTCCAGAATTGGCCGAGCATTTTGTTCAATCATTCAAGCAAGCCATGTATTCTAGTAGACCAGAAAAAGGAACTATCCAGAAAAAGTTTATCCAAGTTTCTATTGGCTTATAGTAACACACCACATTGTACAACCAACACTTCACCAGCTAAATTGTTTATGGGACGAGAGCTCAGAACAAAATTACAACTGATTAAACCGGACTTTTCTGCCTATGTCAAGACTAAACAAGAAGATATGTGTAGATATCGCAAAAATCCACATCGCAGTTTTGAAAACGGTCAACATGTAGCAGTACGTGACTACAGAGGTTCCAGCAAATGGGTACCCGTTGTAATTCGTAATCGCACTGGTCCAGTATCTTATCAACTTGAAACCAATGAAAATGTTATCTGGAGACGTCATACAGATCAACTTCGAGATGCTAAGTTCAATGTTCCTCCAGATGAAAACATTCCATTAAATCCAGATTATATTACCGATCCACGAGCGCAAATTGCACCCCCAAATCAACTTGCAACATCTCCAGGAACATCTCGACAGACCACACCGATAAAACCCAGAAGTCCAACGTTAGGACGGATCCACCGTTTCACGATGTATGAATATGATTAGCTTAGATATAGCATGTGAACCTTATTATTGTCTTGTCGTTATTTTTATGTTTGTTATGTGGTCAATACATAACAGTAGCCATCGGGATTGCTAAAGATATTAAAGACAACGATTCTCAATGATTATAGAAATAATTGCAAGTAAGGTGTTGGTAAATGCTGTCGAACCATTAATATCATTTTATGTCCGGAAGTAGCCCACAGACGGGCGTTCCCATGTCAGTATTTTGTTTAATGTGATTGTTGTCGTTTATTACAGATTTCAACAAGAACAATGTAGTAAGTTCCTGTCTATGATTAGAGACAATCAACAAAATGGCCCTGTCAACAAACAGGTTGAACATAAATCTGAACTTCATATCCACTGCAAATTAATTATTAAAATAACTACTTATTTAAGGAATAATCAGTAAGGATTAAGCCGAAATTGTGTGACCCCTGTGTTTTTGCATCTCGTTAGTGGCACAACCCTTAGCTAAAAGTCCTACAGAATACCAGTGTAGAATTCTATAGAGTTTTTTGGGGGGCGTGTCCCATTTTTTATAGGATAAAATTCTATAGTATTCTGCAGAATTTTGGGGACCTGTAGGAAATAACGGCCCCAAATATTCTACAGTTTCTGTAGCGCACATCCTATTGTTTTTCCTACAGATTTATGGCAAAATTTCTATAGGAAAATACTATAGTATTCTATAGGTTTTTTTATTGCACTTTCTGTAGGAAATTCTATAGTTATGTATAGGAATGAATACTGTTGTATTCTGTAGTTTGGAAATTGGGCCACTATAGTTTTCTGTAGAATTCTATAGACTTTTTTTATATAGACTGATTGTCATTCAGCGTCGGACTTGTCGTGGCGGTCCGTGATCCAGAAAAAAATAGAGGACTACGCTAGATCATGGGCCAAGAGAGAAGATGTTATCTCTGATACTCTCTCTCAGATTGGACTAAGAAATTGCATGCAACGTTTGTTAGTCGACACTACTACTAGGCCTAAATATATTTTCAATGATGTTAGCACTGTTGAAAATCTCAATGCCTTACATGACAAGTGTCATTGTTCAGGCTGACAAAGCATCCAATAACATAGTGTTTATATGTAAACGATATTATTATGACTGTCTGTTCAAAGAACTTAGTTTCGGGAAATCAATCGACAGTGCTACGTATAAACGCTCTACTCTTGGTAAGGATGAAATTATATCCAATCACAGATCTGTACTCACTTCATTTGGTACTCTGTGTGGAGATTGGTCAAAATCGTATTGAGTGCAAATACTTGTCCATCGAAGATAATTTCTATAATTTCTAGTATTTTTTAGAAAAAAAAACGCTTCAAATATATGGTAAATTAGTTATAATTCATATTTAAAGTTCAAGAAAGCTAAATATTTTAATAAAAAAACCCACTAAATATGAAAATATATGATTTGGTTTTGTTGAACACAGTACGTACGTGGCGGTAAAGAATGCCAGTCAAGTCGCCCACAAGCAAAGTCGTCCACACAAAAAATCTAGTTAAGTCATCCACACCCGTTGGTGGAGTCGTCCACACGACTTAGTATAATTTTGGGATATAGCGATACGTTGGTGGAGTCATCCATAAGACTTAATTTAATTTCGGAATATAGTAATACGTTGGTAAAGTCGTCCACATGTCATAGTTTACTTTCGGGACACGTAAGGTATTCTTAATTAGTATATTTTGGTTTTGAGTTCTGCGTGATCATCCTTTCTCCCTGGTTTTCAGAAAATCGCCACACTAGAGCGGCCCTGTTCATGAATAAACAACAAAGTAAATCATTTTATTCAATAAATAACAATTTAATAAACAAATGTAAATAATCATAAAACAATTGCATTAATACAACAATTTCATTAATATAACAAATTAATATAACAAATGCAATAACAATTTCATTCAAATATACTACATGCACAAGCCGGTTTATGTTTTTGTACTCAATCCATGTTCTGGCTATAAATTTAATATTGGTGTGAAAAAATGTCTCAATTTATTAGTCAGTTTAATTTAGAATCTTCGATAACATTTTTGTCATTTGTATGCTTAATCATTAGAGTACCCTTATTTTTCCGTTTTGAAGGTTTGCTGAATTTTGTGCGGCATTTATACAGAAATGGTGGAGGACATTAGACTTGGACACTATTCATGCAAAAATGTTACGAGATATGGTACAAGAGGAGGTAGAATATGAGGAGGAAGAAGAGTTTGAGGAAACTGCGGAAGATGAAGACGGGGATGCTGAAGAGTCAGAAGAGGAGGTTGAAGTGGAGGTAGAGATAGAATATGATGGTCAAGCTGATCCTGGAGGTGATCAGCCTCAAGAAAAAGTCAAGAAAAATGGGAAGAAAATAACTCAAGTAAAGAAGCCCAAAGAAAAGAAGGAAAAGGCAAAAGTGAAAAAGACACGAACTGTAAAAAAGACAAAAGTTGTACAAAAGAAACCTGAGAATATAAAACAAGTGGTTTATGCAGCATTTCAACAACATATAAAAGGTTTAAAAGATGAGAGAGATCGGGAGAAGATGGATCGTAATGAAGCTGCATGTAAAATACAGAGACAATGGCGAAGGCATATTGTAAGTAAAGTCCACTATTAAACATACATTATGCAAGAGCTAAATCTGCCTATTGCAAGTCTTTCTTTAAAAATGAAATGTTTTCTAAATTATTAATTAGACATTAACTAACTTATCCAGACCATAATCAACTCTGGATGGCATCAGATTTCTCTGATATTAAATAGATTAGAACAGTTCAGCCATATTTTGATTTAACTAAAAATTGAGGAGCGAGTCATAGCTTCGAACAACAAGTACAGTGGTTGAAATTATTGCATACATCCTGCCAAACCTTCAAAGGCTAATATCTTCGCTCGCAATAGAGTAATTTGAATGAAATTTTCAAATTATTCATTTTACACTATCTATTTTCGAACTATTATACAGTATAATAGCAAGAATGGCTAGCTCTTTATCTAAATCTTACATAATGTATCTTTAATTAGTTTTATACGCCCACATTTCAGTGTTTCTTAAGCAAAGTTAGTATTTTTACTGACGAAACTTTGGATAAAAACGATGGCTTTTGACATTGTCATTGTATTCTATTTATTATTTTTTATCAACTTAGGCAAAATCGCCGCTGAAATTTGCATAGTGTGTCCAGAGTCCTGATACCGAATTTATATTCGCCTAAATGTTTCACTCAAATCAAACATGTTTGATATATTCGGCCGAATTTTCATTCGCCACTTTTATATTCGCCTAGTGTGTCCAGTTCGTCGGAGACATTGCCCTATTATAGAATTCATTTGCTAATCACTGATGTTGAGAAAGACAAAATAGCAACTATCACGGCTTTGTAACCGCCAATGTCTTCCTTGGCCAATTATGGGGCTTGGATGGCCGAATGGTTAGCATGTGCGCGCGTTGTATCACAAGATCTGGTTCCCGGTTGTACATGACAAGGAGTAGGGTTGCCTGTTCAACTTAGTGGGTTTTCTCCAGGTCTTCCGTTTTCCTCCCACTGCTAAAGACCCCAACGCGCAAGCGAATTATTGAAATAAAATTGAACAATGTGTTAGTCCCGAAATGACCTCTCTCCTCAGCCAATTGTCGAACGAGATTGTTAAAAAAAAAAAACCTGTGCGTCTAGGCGAAGGATCCCGGTTTTAGCCCAGTCATTCTACTCCGACTCATATGGCATAACATTAAAAAAATCACATCAATTGCAGTCATTTTTTTATACGCCTGCATTTTCATGTCCGTCCATCTGGACGTCTGTACACAATTTGTTTGTTGACACTCTACAGGTCACAATTCTTATCCGATTTTGACAAAACTTGAAATATAAGTCTATCTCCCAAAGATCTCGGTTCCTTTTGATATTGGCATGTATCAGAGCGAAAGTTCATGGATTATGGGCCCCTGATTGTATGTTTTTAGCTTGTGGACACTCTAGAGGTCACAATTTTTATCCGATTTAGATGAAACTTGAAATCTCGGTTCCTTTCGATATTTGTGCATGACTATGTCCCGTGATTGTACAAGGAAGTCGCGATTTTAGCTTGTGTGCCCTCTAGAGGTCACGGTTTTTATCCGATTTTAAAAATTGTTTAAAGGACAATATTGGTGCCAGTCATTATCACATATATGATAGAGCTGGTTAAACACATTCCAAATATAATTTTAACACAGAGATCATTGCTATAATAGCTGAGTAATACAGGTTTCCTGAATCGGAAGTGACGAACGCCAAAGGAAAACACGAGTCATCTCTCTATATAACTGACTGATGTGACGAGTGATAAAGGATAAACGGGCAAATTTCTGCTCACTAATAATTCCATCAAAGACCAAAAGTTTATATCCTAAAGATCTTAGTTCCTTTGGATATTCGAACATATTTGACAATAACTTCCTCGATTGTGGCTCCTGATTGTATGAAAATCTCAGGGTTTTTTTAGCTTGTTCTCTATCCATCTCTTGCAAAATTTGGGCATATCTTGCCTGGCAACTGCTGGTTATTAGACTGTAACTTTCTGGATTATGGCCCCTGATTGTACAAAAAATCGCGTTTTTAGCTTGGGGAACCTCTAGAGGTCACAATTTTTATCTGATTTTAAAAACCATTGAAATATATCACTGTTGTTACACCATAATGATGGTTGAGTTTGAATTTTGTAAAAATCGGAAAGAAACTGACAGACAGAACGACCGCTCCTTGTACGTGAATTGGGCAGAGAATTTGCCTTGTGTGTCAACTCAAAATTCAGCTGCGAAGATCCGATGATTGACTTGGGCATAAATTTCGCCTAGTGTGTCTGCCACTTCACATATTGTCACCCTGTCCGTCCATTGGCAATTGGCTTGTTTTTATATGCCCACATTTTCATGTGGACGTACCGGGGTTTCATTAAATATTACTGTAGGTGGGTAAAGTATCAGAGTAGGGGGCTAATTTTTTGAGAGCCGAAGGCATGCCCCCCTGAGAAAATTTTGCTTTTTGGCACGCAATATGATGCAATTTGGTTGATTTTACACCACTTTCATCAATTTATATAAGGGTCAAATATGGGAATCTCTGTATATCTATCAGGACCTATAATATCAGGTAAATAGTTTTTGAATGTAAAAGTTAGCACACACGGTAATTAACTAGTGAACAGGTTTGAAAACTCAGTTTGGTGCAGTCGCGGAAAATGGGTCGATCTAACCGTTAACTCAACGATCCCTTTATCAATATCAATCTCTTTTCTAATGTATATATAGATATCTGGTACATCAATACATCGTGGGCTATTAAACTTCGTTTTTCAGTCATTATTATTGTTGGGTGTAGGGTCGTTAGTTACTACGTATTTTATTCCATGTCAGTTTACCGATATATAATCTCGTCATTGATTGTATTGTGAATTACGAGAATCGCACGTCTTTGACGCTCCATGACATATCCATATGAATTCCAGGTAGATATTAAAATTTTAATTGGATCATACATTTTTGATGGTTTCACAAACAAGTTGTTAGTTAAATTTTAATCTTCATTGAATATAATCCACTGATAAAACATCGAATACTCCGAGTAACAGTCATTAATAATATATTTTTTCGAAAGAATCGCCATTACCGATGACAGTGACATCGTTGAAATTAGTTCAATTAATCAGCGATGTTGTAAGCTTAAGTTTTAAATATTGTTTAACGTTATGATTTTTTACTTTATAATACACATGCTGACAGAAGCTTTATTTTATAAATGTTGTCGTTATTATTGCAGGCTATGCGAGATAGTCAAACAAAATTTTATTTTACAGCAATTTCAATTATGGTTGTCACATGATCATTGTGTCGTTTGTCTATCATCGTCGAATGAATAAAAACTAAAAGGTGACAGACAAAAACTAAACGATTACGCCGAGATGTATATTAAGTTTTACCGAAGTAAACCCGTCTTTCTTCCGCTGGTTCACTACTCACTGTAACTACGAAAGATATGGCGATATTTCTTTTGCGTTTGATACATACATGTATGTATCACCACCCCCGTTAAAGTACGAAAGATTCGTCGGCTTTGGCGCCATTTTGTGAAGATCATGCAGCCATTGAGCAGCAATCTTCCAAGACAGAAGAAACCGCCATACCCAAGTAACTATAGATAGCACCACTTTTCGACACCCATGGTCAGCACGTGATTTTTGACACGAGGTATGAATGGAAAGATAAAGTAGCAGTTAATTTTGTTGACGTTTATGATTTTCCGTTATCATTGTTCACCGGTCCCATGGACCAACGGGAAGATAAAATACTGGTTATCGGAAACTCTGAAATGCGTGAAAACTAGGCGGTATAAATGACAGTTTTCGAAAGAAAGTATGTAAAATAGTAAGGTATAAAGAGATAAGCTTCGTAACTTTTTATATGCCCACATTTTCATGTGGATATTGTCGTCGCCCCTATCCTTCCGTCCACAATTGTTTGTGAACAGTCTACAGGTCACAATTTTTATCCTATTTCAATGAAGCTTGAAATATAGGTTTATCACCCTAAGATCTCGGTTCCTTTCGATATTGGCATGTATTGGACTGTAACTTCGTGGATTATGGCCCCTGATTGTATGAAAAATGACGTTTTTAGCTTGTGAACACTGTAGAGGTCACAATTTTTATCTGATTTTGTTAAAACTTGAAATGTAAGTTTATAACCCAAAGAGCTCAGTTCCTTTCGATATTCGCACATTTGACCGTAACTTCCTGAATTATGGCCCCTGATTGTACGAAAAATCGCGTTTTTAGCTTGTGGACCCTATAGAGGTCATAATTTTTATCCGATTTAAAAAATCGTATTAATATATCACCGTTACACCCTAAGTATGGCTGAGTTCGAATTTCGTGAAATTCAGCCCAAAATTGACAGACAAAATGGCAGCCCCTCGTACTCAAGTAGCGTAAAAATATGGTATATCAAGGTTGTGGACACTATAGAGGTCACAATTTTTATCCGATTTTGTTGAAACTTTAAATATAAGTTTATAACCCAAAGATCTCAATTCCTTTCGACAATCGCGCATATCGGAACGTGACTTCCTGAATTATGGCCCCTGATTGTACGAAAAATCACGTTTTTAGCTTGTGGACCCTATAGAGGTCATAATGTTTATCCGATTTTAAAAAACGTATTATTATATCACCGTTACACCCTAAGGACGGCTGAGTTCATATTTTGTGAAAATCGGCCCAAAACTGACAGACAAAATGGCCACCCCTCATTCTCAAATAGCGTAAAAATATGGTATATCAAGGTTGTGGACACTATAGACGTCACAATTTTTATACGCCCACATTGAAATGTGGTCGTATATTGTCGTCGCCCCCGTCCGGCCGTCGGTCCAGCGTCCACAATTGCTTGTGGACGCTCTATAGGCTAAAGTTAATATCCGATTGACTTTAAATTTATATTAGGTACCGGCAAATACCAGCCAAGCCTACTGGAAAACAATGACGACGTCGCTAATTACAGAAAGTTAGTCAACTTTCCAACATTAGTGCTGCTACCACTCTCATAGTTTTTAAAAGATA